TTCTATCAAAATCAGTCGACTCTCCAATCAATGATCAATTTTTGTACACTTGCTAAGCTCAGCATCAACTTTGAAAAATCCTGGGCGTGGTCGACCAATGGGCCACAACGTACCAAATGGAAATCAATCCTCGATGAAGAGCTCCCGCATGGCACCCGAATGCCAATCCTGAATGAATCAGTTGAATTAGGAATAGTCTTCAGATATGCTAAAACCCATGGTCTCGGTTCCGCGGGCCAGAGAATCGTAAATTCCGGACATAGACTGGACCGACTTCAGGGGATCAATACCAGCATTGATGTTGTTGCCCAGCTGATTCAAACTGTGGTTTGGCCACTGGCATTCTTCGGATCTCCATTCACACCACTTGGATATCACCATTTCGAAGAACTCCGCACAAAGTGTACCAGGGCACTACTCCATCAACCGGAGTCGCATGCCTCACCTTGGCTCACTACCAATGTGCTTTCTGCCAGATTGCAAGACCCAGAGGAACTTGTGCACGTCATGATATGGAGGAATCTTAAGAGATATCTTTACAAGACTCCGACGGCGCAGCAAAACCAGTTCATACTTGCAATTACCATGCACTCAGGCGAGTATAGAAAAATTCACGGCCCGGCCGGTGTTGCAAAACGTTCAACCAATCGGCTCAAATGGACAATCCTTGATACAGGACATGCCATCACATCAGATGGGGTTAAGCTTCATATCCCTACGGTACCCTGGCGTTGCCTTTGTCAATGCTTGCATGCCTCCTGGATGGAAGTTGTAACTACGCAGGTCCAGCATAGAAAAGAGTGTGAAGGCATTGCCACAATCAGTAGACTCGCAACATCCAAAGCGCTAGGTAGCATTGAATCATCCCTCCAACGCACGGCCGCACTGCAGATTGTGGGTGTGCAAGATGCATATCTTAGCAATGACCGGGCCGCAATTGAACTCGAAGATCATAATCGCATTTGGAGAATCCCGGTGGCAATAACTCGCCCCAGTGCTACACTCTTGAAATTTACCTCAGAGCATATCCACGAAGGAGTAATTAGCGAGGCCAACCTCCGACTACTACGAAGCATCCCGCATACTCCACATCTCTTCATTGATGGGAGTGGGTACCATCAAACTTCCCGAGCGGCACGATCCTCCTCCGGGGTAGAGTGCGTTGGCCACTGGAGCTGTTGCAACCAAGCTTGGATGGATTCACAAAATGCGGTGCCCCACATACATGCTTCTTTGAGTTCCTGCGGTATAAGCACAGTGTATCTGGTGCAAGGTGGGTTCCAGTTTTGCATGATTTGGAATTTTTGGTTGCTCGTTGACCGAGTTCCTTTTTGAGTTTCACATTCGGCCACACGTTTTAGATAAGTGATGGTTGTCCGGGCTGCATAAGTGAGTACTTTACCCAACGTGCATTGGTCATTTTTCTCGGCCTGAAACAGCTGCGCCGCTTCTTGACGTAGCGGAGTTGGAATGGTTCCAATTGCCTGCTTAGCCGCGGCATCTGCACTTTCATTGCCTAAGTGGATGAATGCTTGCACATGGTCTTGCACCCCTAAAGAGTCAACGTGTGATTTTACCTTGTGAATCATTTGCTGAGGCGGTCTAGGTATTTTAGCAAGTCTATAAACCAGATCCTCATTGGCTTTATCCATATAGAAGGCATCCGGACCACGTACTGCCACCAAGTTCCACAAGTTTAGATTACTCTGGCAATCAGTGTATATCACACTATCGGGTCGAGCTTCCAAAGCTACGACCAATGCTTGGAGCTCGGCTCTGGTCACCGTCTGATCTCCTTTAGTTTGCGCCATAGCGATCACCTTGAAGGCTGGCGGGATCACCCGCGTGCTTTTATATTCCCTAGCAAGGCCTTCACGTTCGTGCAGTTTGGCAGTTGATAGCACGATCGCCCAACCTGATCCTGGAATAGCTTGGCTTGAACTCTGCGTCAACTGGCAAATCTGCTCAGGAATGGAAATTCCTAGAGTCATGAAACCCTCAAAAGATGAATTAGCGAAATTACCTAAAGATACTTACGCCATGAGAACCTCCCAGCAGGACCCCGCCGTACTCCTGCTACCGTTTACTTGGACGCAAGCCGCTAAAGACTTCGAGGGTGCCATCCGCGTGCTACAGCGCCGAGTGGAAAAGGAGTTTCTCCCTTGGACTAAACGGGTTAAAGTGAACACTCTTCGCATCTACGGGTCATCAACTAAAGTCTCCGGTTTTTCCACAAGACCCATACTACCTTTGCAAGATCACACGATGAACATGATGCTCAAGGGCTACACGAGTGGCCCTGAATTCACACTCGCAAGAGATGTGATTCGAAATCTGCCAGTCGCTCATACTTGCAAGGTAAGCATGCAGCCTAATGAGTGCCACGAAAGCCGATATGAAAGGTTCTTCAAGTGGAGAAAGCTCCAAGACTCCAATAAGGGTAATGCACGGAAATGGCATTAAACAAACCCACCTCTTAGTGTAGATTTCTTCCAAATTGGGCATATCTGGCCTAACATACCTTGCCTGGTAGCGATGATTTCCTCCACTAATCGTGGTCCGTGAGCACCGACACTTGTAATCTTGAACACCCGGGTGTACATAGCTTGCCAAAACGGGTCGGAACAGAAATATCCTGCAGTGTGCATGCGTTGCAGGTGTGTCCTGTACCTTCACAAACTGGGGGGGGGGACGCCGCTTGCTTTAAAGTATTACTCAAGGCTATGCAACTCGGGGCACACTACCCCAAGCTGCACACAACCCCTCTGGCAAACTTATATGCCCGTGTGTACATAGCTTGTGAAACCAGTGCCCCACGGAGCAATGTGCTTAATTAAAAGCAGTAACTCCATGGTTAAGTGACGGAGGACTCAAATGGTCTTGTATAGCCCGTCGACTCTCCAAAGAAACTGCCACTGAACCACCGTACTCAATCATTCGATTGCCGACCGGCAAGATCACTTGAGCTACACTGCCTGCCGGCAGACCCTTGGAATATGCTCCTTAGGAGCCTTCTTGGCCGGCTTTTGGGCCTTTTTGATTTGTATTTTTTGCTGGCCAGGTAATACACCTGGCTGGCGTCTCAGCGAGCTTGAACTGGTCCCTCTCTGCGTGAGCTGGGGGGGGGCCGCTAGTCGAAGGGTGTGGATAACAGTGTGCAGCATTGGATGTCCTCTTGTGCTTGTTTGGGTCTTGCCGGGTCTCTCCTTCTGTTTCGCTCTTGGCGATTTTCGTTTTGGTTCCCCACAATCCCATTGGTCCCATGCACAAGCTGCGCGCTGTTATGCCCTCTATGCCGGCGCTAGGGCCGTCATCCGACAGCGTGGTGGCCTAGTTGCTAAGCAAGGCAACCCACCCGCCCTCCCTGAAGTTCACCTATGCATGTCGTCGCCCCACGCCAGCCTCACTATGTTTTTCAAGGACCTTATCGCTGTCCTTCTTGAACACAGCAAGGAGCATTACTTGCTCCAACATTACCGTCATGGGAGACCAAACGTCCTGCTTAAGGCCCGTGTTTGCGAATGCGGCCTTGTGCACATTTACGCCTTGGCTACGCAGGTCATTCGTCCTGGCGATTCCCTAGTTTGTGTCCAATGTCCTTGGCAATGGACCGCCCTTGTCGCGCACTTCGATGGTAGCTGTCACCGTTCGGAGGGTATTGGTGGGGCAGGGGTCATTGTGCGTAAATTTTGCGGGGACACCTCGGTAGTGCTTGAGCAAACTGCCAACCCTTTGCTCGACTGCCCGGACTCATACCACGCTGAGGGATTTGCCAGCTCATATGCCGTGCATGCCTTGGCGCGTTATTTCCCCTTCTCCCCTGACGTGCAGGAGTGCGTCATCATTGGTGACAATTCTTCCATTCTAAATTACTGGCGTCGCACTGCACGTGTGCGGCGCCCTAATCTCATTACGGAACTGCAACGTGCTCAACTGCTCGCAGCCATAGGGAGCAGATTCAACGCCGCCAGAAAGCACCTTGTCGTTCAATGGCCAGCCCATCCTGTTGGAAGAGATGACAGGTGGAACAAAACACGAGCCAGTCATCATGGCAGGGTCCCTTGACAAGAGTACTGCTCAACAGGTTCCGGCTGCAGAAGATCCGTGGCTGCAAAATGATCCATGGAGCAAGATGAAGGCTCAGACGGGAACCAACGTGACGATGAGAAGTACTCCTGCACCAACTGCAACTGCCATTTTGGCACAGGATCAGAAGTTGCAGAAGATGCAAGAGCAGTTGGATGGCATTGCCGGCAGATTGCAAGTGCATGAGCAGAAGACCACACATGAGGTTGGACAGCTGAGGACAGAGATCAAGGACTCTCGCTGTCACCTGGAGACCACGTTGCAGGGAGCTTTGCAGAAACAATCAGATCAGCTCATGGAGGCAATGCAGGCGCTCCTTGCACCGCAACAGCAGCAGTCACAATCCCATAAATCGAAAAATCCCACTGACGGCAGATCAAGGAGTCGCTGATCATTTTGGGTTGTCTTTTTGCCCAGGTGCTGTATTTCGGTATGGCATCTGTCTCCTTTGATGCTCAGGGTGCGGCCTTATCCGGGGGTGAGGATCAGGCAATGCGTACTCTTTTGGGCACTATCAATGTTACACGTTTACACAATTACAGAGATGAGGTTCTTAGCCTGCCGACAGGCTGCTGGGCTTTCACTGAGACATCAAGCGTCGCAGGAGAGATTGTGGGGGATGGCCGCTTCTTCAGGAAGCATGGCCTCAATTACATTGCCAGCAAGGAATGCATGCCGCGCACAAGGTATGCAAAAAACCTGGTGCATGCACCCACATTTGGAGGGACAGCGGTGGTATCCTCGCTTCACACCCGGATTGACCGTTTCAACTACCCCCGGGATGTTGTGAATACAACTCGGTTGCTGTCTACCTTCCTACATCTGGGGGGGCTTCAGGTACTTGTTATTACGCTGTATTTGCCCCCGACGAGGCATGATGATCGGTTCATCAACCAGGACAGACGAGAGGTGAGGACCATCGTGCTTTTGAGTGGGGTGGACCTGCGGTGATCCTGGGTGACTTCAATGGAGATTACCACGAAATGAAGAGCTGGGGTGAGCTCGCACTCATGGGCTGGGCAGAAGTCGGTGACATCCATCTTGCGAAGACTGGAGAGGTGCTGCCGGCCACCTATCAAAATGAGGTGAGACATGATTATATGCTCTTATGCCCCTTCATGGCGTCCAGACATGACCATTCGTGGGTTCTTCGGGACCATTCATTTCCTCAACATTTTCCCTTGCTGACCACCTTTTTCTTGGAATCGCAGCATGCTTTGAAGAGCGACTGGAAGCTGTCAAGGCCTTTAACTCCAGAGCAGCGTGAGTATCTCAGGCAACAGAACGTTGACGACGCTTTTCGTGCTGAGGTTACAAGATGCCATGGATCTATGGAGGCCTTTCTGGCATGCTCGCTTTTCAGGCAGGATAGTTTTCGTGCTATTTCCAATATGGTGGAACTCTCTTGGAGACAGATCTTGGGGGATGCTGGCCATGACCTTAGGTTGAAGCCTTCTCAGATGGGTCGCTCTAAGCACCCACCAATTAAGAAGCAGCATCACCAGATGAGCTCCTCGCTTGGGAGAGTCGGTGACTACTCGGCAACCTGCGAAGCTACTTCTGTCCATTCCAAACAGGTGGTTAGACAATGTAGAAGATTGCAATGTGTCATTAGAATGCTTACTAAGTTTCAAGATGATCACATGCCTGATGTGCAATATCAAACCATGCAGATTGACCAGGAATGCATCATTTCAGCCAAAGGTTTCGGTGTTTCATATGGAATGGGCAGAGCGAAAGGGGCTTCCGGCATTGAACCTGCCGGTATTTGATTTGCACTCAGTACAGCTTCATTTCATTGCGGTACAGACATTTGCAGATGAGAGTGCCAAACGGCAGAACTCTGACAAAAACAAGGCATGGAAAGATTTGCTGGCAAAATCCTTTTCGCACCAAGGTGGAAGGTTGGCTTTCAGACATGTCAAGAACTCGTTCATTCCTGAGATTTCGCATGTACATGTCAAAAAGGCCTTGGATTTGGCTCCTATCAGGCAGAAGATGAAGGGTCCCCTTTGCTATCGCTTGAAAACCCCTATCCCTCAGGGCAGTACGGTGCACTCGGATGTCGGACCAGTTCGGCTCAATGAGGCTGGCAATTTCTTTACCATAACAACAAAGGATGACAACACACCATCAAAGTTTTGGACTGAGGGTTGGGCTTTTGATCCGGTTGAAGTTCACAAGGAGTTCTTCTCGTTCTGGGATAAATTTTGGAATGAGCCTCAAACTCCTCATGCTGATGAGCCATATGGCCTGAACCTGGTTTCTGCCTTCCCCGATGCCCTGGACTCCGAGATTCAGGTGGCAGATTTGCATTCGGTGATTAAATGCACAAAGGCCAACACGAGTGTGGGCAGTGATGCATGGTCGCTTAATGACTTCAAGATGATACCAGAGGTGGCTCTTGACACCATGGTCAAAGCATGGAATCTCATCTTCAGCGACCAGATCTATATACCTGCAACTTTTAGCATGGCGCGGGTTTTGCTACTGGCCAAGCATCTTGATGCAGAAAGTATATCAGACACAAGGCCCATCACTATATGCCCTTTGACGTACAGGTTATGTGTTCGGGCGATGACGAAAAAAATCACCAGACAGCTCTTGTGCTATTACCCGGTAGGGGTCTTGGGCGGACTGCCAAAAAGGGCAAGCTGGGAGTGCTATTACAAGGCTCAGTTTGTCATTGAGAACGCTCAGATGACAAGCTCTCAACTATGTGGCCTTACCACTGACGTGGTGAAAATGTTCAACGCAGTGCGGAGGCCCGCGGCTGCTGCACTGCTTGAAAGGGCCGGAGTGCCAGCAGCAAACATCAAGGTCTGGATCACACATCTTGACTCTATGAGGCGGTATTTGCGGGTGCAGAAGTCTCTTAGTGCTGGACATACATCAGTGGTTGGGGTGCCGGAAGGCGATGCGCTCTCTGTCCTTGTAGCTACACTCTTTGGAGTGGTGTGGTGTGAAGCTATCAGAGCTAAGGAGGGTGGTACGGCAGTCCCCACCGCTTATGTGGACAACCTTGATGTGGTGGCTAAGACTGGGCAGGACCTTGAACATGCAGTGGACGTAATGTCAAACATCACTGCGACGTGGGGGTTGGCATTCGACCTCAAGAAATCCTGGTGTTGGGATGTCGGATTTGACAAATCTGCAAGACCTTCCTTGAAGATTGAGCGAAAGCCATGTGGTAAAAACCTTGGCGCTGCCATGACTTATAATAAGCATCCGCTCAACAGTATTCAGGTAAGGCGAATCCAGGGTGTTTACAACCGGATTACTCGCTTGGGGCCACTGCAGATCACAGACAAGCAGAAATGCCGCTTGATTAAGACTGGTATCTGGCCTGCCGCTCTCTATGGCGCGGAGATCACGTACTTGGGTAAGCAGTGGTACGTGACGTTACGTGATCTGGCTGTCACTGCGCTCAACAAGTATCACAAATGGGCAAACAGATCGATGGCACTCTTCTTGTATGACTCGGAGTTGGATCCCTTCATCCACCTCACTCTCAACCAGATCAAGCAGGCAAGAAGAGCTTTGTATGAGCAGGACCAGGCGATCGCACATGCGAACCATGTGCTCAGTGGACAGTATAATTTCCATTTGCCGTTTGGACCGATGTCAGCGCTTCAATGGCACCTCCTTACTTTGGGCTTCCAGATTTTGGAGGATGGCATGATCCAACTGCAGGGCAGGCCAGACTTGCATCTATGGACTGCACCGTGGGAAGACATACGGGACACGATCATTTTCGCATGGGGGTGATGTGTCATGGAGAGCATGAACAGGAGGGAGGAAATAAATTTCCCGGAAGATGTGGACTGGACCATTGTCCGCCATGCCCTTCGCTCGTTGAACGACAAACCTAGACAGCGCTCGATGTATATCTTCTTGACCGGAGCCACAGCCACCGAGAGAAAATATTCCAGGGTGAACAACGGAGATGACAAATGCTTCTGTGGAAATATAGACACTGTGATGCACCGGGTCCTGGAGTGCCCAGGCACAGCTGCTTGGAGAGACGAGCATCCCTTCCTGAGATCTCTGGAGGATAGCAAGGTTACTTTGCCACTCTGTCCGTGGATCGCGGATGGGAAATTCTTCCAACAGGCCTGTTCAGGGAGACCTAATCCTGTCGTCACTCAGCTGGGGGATGAGACTAGGTACTGGGTATACACGGATGGTTCTGTGCATAACCCGACCTGCCATCTCACTGCTGATGCTGCGTGGGCTATTGTTTACACTGAAGCCATAGCAGATGAAGCATTGGCCAGCCTGACATCTGAGGCAAAGAGACGTCATGTGCCGGTGGATTGCTTCCGTACGTTGGGGACAGGGAAGCTAATTGGCAGGCAGACTATCAACCGTGCTGAGATGGAAGCGGCTATCCAGGCAGTGGCATCGATCAGAAATGCTATTATTTTCACAGACTCACAGTATGTAATGCAAATATGGAAGCGGGTGCAGGATGACTTCAGACCATGTGAATGGGTCAATGCAGCCAATGGAGACCTTACAATTCGCTTGTGGAAGGCCATGTGTTCCTTTCCAGGGGTGAGATCCATCCAATTCCAGAAGATTGGCAGTCATGCTGAACGCAAAGAGAACATTTGGGAGTGGTCGGATACCCCTTTTTTCCATTATTGGGGTAATCGCTCAGTGGATCACGCAGCCAGTGAAGCGATCAAATGTGACCATCCTGAGGTTTTGCGCAGAAGAGACAATGCAGGGAGATTGGTGCGAGTGAAAAAACTCTTCTATGTGGCGGTGTATGGGGCTTATGCTAAGCTGCAAAAATGCTATGAGGACAGTCGCGAAAGACGCCCTGTGCAGAGCAGACAGCAACCACTGCAAATTCAAGATGTCGGAGATGTGCCTCCCATGCATTTCAAGGTGGTGCCTTTGCATGCAGCAGAAACGCTGCGTTGGTGTAGCCATTGGACTCACACTTTTATGCAAGCACTGTACACTTGGATTGGGTCTCTGGCATGGCCACCTAGCTCGGTTAACACTGGCTATGTGGCCTGGGCAGAACTCTTGGCTTCTTTTAAACATTTCAGTGGTTTGAATGTCCCGGTCAAACACCCCACGGTGCCACATTGTTTTACACTGACGCAGATCCACCCGTTGGTGCAGGATCTCACGGCTTTAAACGCTGAAATCACAAGATTCCAAAGTGCCATCAAAGCACTTCAACAGGTCCTAAAGCAGACGGTTGTCCCCAAGGACTCCTCGGTACAATGTGCCTCCCGCTTGGGATACTACTTTGAAGGTCAGCTTGGTACTATACACGGGAGACCCTGGATGCCGTGCTTCAGCCAATCCAGGGAGAGTCTCAGCAAATACTTTGAAAAGCTTGAGGGAACGACACTGCACCAGCCTTTGCAGATTCGGACAGACCGGGTGATGATGACTTCACCATACGATGCCATTCTCAATACAAAGACGCATTTCACTGGATTCATGCAGCTTGTGAAGAAGGGCAAGCCGCCCGTGCTGTTTCCCCCCTTCGCGGGCACTTGAATGATGTGAAGACCAATTTCTGGGTTCACTACGTTGTAGTTTGGGGTTCACTTGGATCTTATGATCCTATGAGTTGTAGGCTGATGCCTCCTCTTTTCTGGCAGCCTTGAATACCTTGGCTGACCTTGTTGGGAATGACAGATGCTGGGGCCCGCCTTTGGGGGTGTTTGGGTGTTTGGTTTCTGGTTTTTGGTTTCCCCCTCTTTTCTTTTTGGTTGGGCCCTGGGGGCTTCTCATCCCTTCGGTGGTGGGTTGCCCGGTGACGTATCAGAGCGAATAAGGAGGCTGACTTCCTCGCAGGTATTGCCAGTGCAGCCGCCTTGCGGTCCCCATTCCTACTGCCGCAGGCTGGCGCACTCCCGCTGCGACTGCCCTTGCAGAACGATCTGCCTTTTTTGAGGCCTACATTGCCACTGGAGGGGAATGTTTGCGTTCGGAAGCAAGCGGGGTTGTTGTTCTCAAGCATGTGGTTTACCGCATCGATGGTGATGACTGCTTTGGTCGTGCGTATCCGGTTATTAAAGGTGCTGCCGCGCTACCACGTGTTGTACGTGCTGCG